CTTTCTCTCTCTCTCTCTCTCTCTCTCTCTCTCCCTCCTCTCTCTGTCTCTCTCTCTCTCTCCACACACACAAACACACTTTTTCATCATTTAAGGGGTTCTAGGGCATAAAGTTGGCAACTATATGCCTTTGCATGTCTTATGGGAGTCCAACATCTAATTTTGTCCATTAAGACCCAAATTAAGAACCTACTTCCATGCATGGTGTCACAATGACCACCAAGATAGCATTTTATGCCTTTAACACACCAAAGGAACTACGATCTAGCATTTCAAGCTTCTGGAGTTGCCTAAATTAACTCACAAAAGGGAACCCATGGACAAAACTGAGCTATAAGCAAATCCTAACTTTAACTATGTAAAGGATCAACAAGGTATGAGCTTTTTACCTTCAAAAGCTCCTCAAGATGATGTAGATTCAGGATCTTGAAGCTCACCCATGCCCAAAGCATGAACACCAACTTATTCTTCTTGCAAACACAATAAAAAGGCCACCAAAGTTACTTCAATGCTTAAAGATCACTCATAATGGCAAAATAGGGTTTTTAGGGACGTTTAAAGGAGTGAAGGCTGATAAGAGTGAGGTCCAAAGGTCATAAGTGAGCTTAAATAGGGCTCATGTCCGTAAATTAGGGTTTTTGCCTTTTGGCCACGTACGCCCCGTGTATACTTCGTACGCCTTGCGTACGTGGCTCCGCTGCTCGATCAATACGCCCATGTACGCTAAGCATACATATACATACGCCCAACATACAAAGGGCCTTCTTTTCCAATTTGATTTATATTAGGGACTTAAAAAGGAAATACCTGGATTCGAATGTTACAGGATGTCTATAGATACTTAAAACATTTACACTTACAACTCTCAAGAAATAAGTACAAGTAAGGGTAAAAACTATAACATAGACTTTTCGTATGTATCGTAGCTTCTAGACTTTACATGTGCTTAATAACCCCCTTCATGAGGAATGGTAGTGGTGGAACCAATAACAACTCTCGAAAGAACTCAAGCTGATGTCGAATGATTACTGGTTGATTTATCTTCAAGTAAACCAAAGTTTGTTGGGTGGAAAAGGGTACAAATAAACTTGAATCAAGTTTCAAAAATTCCATTATGCCGTCAAGCCAATATACGATCTCTTGTGAAATCTGTAAATATCTCGAAATCAACGATGCGATGCATAGACGTATCAAGGAAGGTGTACTTCGACCATATACAAATTCCATCAAGCCGACTCTAACTCATGATAATAGAAGAGCAAGGTTAGAATTTTGCTAATCAAAGATTACTACACAATCATTATTAAGTCTAATTTCTACATTCTATGATATGTTTAATGTTTTTCATATTGATGAAAAGTGGTTTTACATATCAAAACCACCAAAACGTCACTACCTTGTCCCCGGTGAGGATAAACCATTGCAAACATGTAAAAGCAAAAAGTTTATCACAAAAGTTATGTTTCTAGCAGCCGTAGCAAGACCAAGATTTGATTAATTAGGTAACAAAGTATATTCAGGAAAAATTGGTATCTACCCGTTTACAACATTAGAACCTGCTAAACGTTCAAGCAAAAACTGTATTATGGGAACATTGGATGCGAAACCTATTTTATCGGTGAACAAAGAGGTAACAAGGTCATGGTTGATAGAAAAGGTTCTATCGGATATCAAATCCAAATGGCCGCAAGGTCATATCGGTCTAATATTTATTCAACAAGACAACACAAAGCCTCATATTGATGTCAACGATAGCAAGTTTCTTGAAGCGGCATCTCGACATGGATTTGATATTCGACTTTGTTGTCAGCCCCCTAATAGTCCGGATTAGAATGTGTTAGACCTTGGTTATTCTTTCGAGCAAGCCGATCACTTCAAGAACAAGAGGTTTTGCATACAATTAATGAATTGGATGATGCGGTTCAAACGTCTTTTGAAATAATGTCATCACAACAACTTAACAAGGTTTTTTTAACTCTACAAACATGCATGAAAGAAATCATAAAAGTACAAGGTGGCAACAACTATCATGTGCCACATATTGGTAAATGCAGGTTAGAACTAGAAGGTAATTTTCCATTACAAATTGAATGTGATCAAAATTTATTAGACAATGCTATATTGTATTTGAAAAAATAAAAATGTGTTGCACATCACCCAATTTGGAAAGGAACACTTGTATTTTGACTTTTTTTTTAAATGAAAATGAATGAGATGTTTTGTTTATGTGGTTATGATTTACTGCCACTACACATTAAATTCATAGGATTGGATTTTTATTTTAGTAGAGTTATTTTGTTTATCTTTTCAATTGTACATACTTGTTTCCAGATTCTCTCGATGACCCCTTTTTTTTTCATAATTTACTTTTCATAAAACACATTAATAAAAACATGTTGGTTAACTAAAATAGTAACCTGTTCATCTATTCATAAGGGGTAATTTGGTAAACTGTTCATCTATTTTTAGTAGTGGACATTTATTTTGGGACAACCTAAAATAGTAACCTGGACATTAAATTGGACCGGAGGGAGTATTACATTAAGATGTTTTAGGTCGCCCTACAATACTATTATGAATTAAGAAAATCAACTATTACACATTCCATATAACAAATGAAAAACAATGGAATTCCCAAGACATGGACTTACATATGAATTATAAAATTTATATGGGAAAAGGAAGAGGTGGTAGATGAAACAAATTTATATGATCCATATCTCTCATTCACTCTGTGTAAATAAATATTCAAGATGGCATGGAGTTATCCCACATACATCAAAACCTGTATAAAATCATGAAAATACATTAAAGTTATTATATGTTTGTCACATATTCGTTGATAACCGACTTGATCCTCCACGCCTGAGGTTTCCATCTTTGTCCATTTGTGTAATTATATTTCTTCCTACGATAAAGTACAACACCAAACAAAAATTCGCTAAAAAAATAAACAACTGGTTATGATATATTTTTTTTACAAAACAATCTCTTATAAGATAACATCCTACGTGGTTTTGCAAGATTCTGATTTTCACATTACATTCATTGAATGCAGGGGCGGAACACGGATCCCTTAACCGGAGGGGCCGAAATGATTGTTGATTTTTTATCATTTTGATGTTGACTATGTAATATGATTTGCTTTAACAAAATAGTAAAAGAGAATAACAATTTAATAATTATATTTAAATATAACTAATTATTCTAACTATACTAAAATTACCTTTACAAAATTAGATATCGTATATTATTGACATTAGCAGATCGTTTCACTAACTTAATTTTTCTAAAAACTACATTCTTTTCTCTAAATAAATATGAGCCTAGATCACACTAAAAATAGCAAAACTTTATAATAATCTAGCTAATTCTCTTAAAAGTGGTGCAGCCATCTGTTTATCTTTAAAAGTAGTTATTTTAACATTACATATAAAAATATGTATATCATTAACCTGGGGCCAAATCGTTAGTCAACAAATAAAACCAAACTTTTATTTATATATAATATAGTATTAAGGAGTTAAAAAACACAAGGGGCCATGGCCCCTAGCCATATAAAGGATCCGCCACTGCTTGAATGTCGTAGTTAAAATGAAAAGAGATCACATCTTTTTTCTAAAAAACATCATAATTTAACTCATTTTTCGCAGTCAACAATCGTATTTTCATAGTCAACGACGTTGTTTTGATATTAAAAAAAAAAGTTCGCAGGCTAAACATATTTTTGTAGATGCGGGCTTGTGAAGTTTTTTTTTTCTTCCTGTTTTGGCCATTTTGCATTTTTGTAGCTATTTTGTGATAAAACCTTAAAAAAAACTATTATGATAATTTTCTCAGTTTTAATTTTTTTTAGTTTTATGTAATTTTAAAATAATCCATTTCTAGCCCAATTACCTACCATATCATGTTAAGAAAAAATAGTTTTAGTGCTGATTTATAAAATCTGATAACTAATTTCCAAATATTAACATATTTGAACGATTATTACAATATATCAAAAATTATTACATTTATTTGTGGAATAAATTACTGAAATCGTCCATGTGGTTTGGTCAAATTTGCGTGTTTGGTCCCTAACGTTTTTTTTGCACTCGGACCGTCCCTATTGTTTCATTTGGTTGCGTTTGTTGTCCCTAACAAACATGAAAAGACTATATTACCCTTAGCCATTTCTTTTTTGATTTTTTTAATATTAACTTATTAAATAATATTATTGACAATAAAAAATATGGGTCCCTCACCCCTATTATCTCTTCACCGTTATCAGTCATCACCTTCATTTGCCTCACAGTACTGTCTGAATCTCATCCTCTCCATTCTTCTTCGGGAAGTGGAACCAAATATGTTTCGAATCAAAGAAATGGGGAAAGCTAAAGGAACACCCTGATTCATTTATGTGAATCGAAGCCGATGAGCATATCAGACGATGTTAAAGATCTTGAAGCTCAGTGACGGAGAAGATGCGACTGAGGGGATGGATTGGTCGGATCAGGTGACACAGACCGGAGGAGATCGAAGATCTAAAGAAGTTTATATGTGGCGGGACAAAGCCTATTCGGTACTGATCAACTTTTCGTTCCTCCATCTTTCACCTTTCACGCCTCTCCCTTTCTTCCCCAACGAGAAACCATCGGAAACTTCCTCTGCCCCTTCACAATCCCAACTTCAAACCTAGATTAACACCCTTAACCTACCACTTACCAGTGTCATCTACTTTCAGGTGAGTTAGAGAGGGGAAAATAAAGAGATGTCTTACCGGCGAGAGATAGGAGGAACAAGATGGAAATGTTTTCATCGGTGTCGTCCTTGAAAATCCTCCGACCACCACCATCTCCTTCACTAAGTTTTGTTCCCCTTTAACCCCATTTCTTCTGGAAAATCTTCTTTGATTTCTGGGATTTCATCATCGATTTTAGGTTGGGTTTTGTGTTTTTAGGTTTTGATTTCCATATCGTGATTTGATTTTAGCTTAATCTGATTTCAGGATATTGGGATTAATTTTGGTTAGGTTTTTGATTTCGGAATTTAATATTGTTATGGTTTTGATATCTGTGTTCAAGTTTGATTTCTGGGATTTGATCTTAGGTGTGACCTGATGCAATCGATGATATGGTCTGTAGTTGAGCCAGAATCGGTAGATGGTGGTGATGTTGGAATCGATGGGTGGTGTTTTTCGGTGGCCAGTGGTGGTTATTGATGGTCTGTGGTGGTTTTCAGTAACATGTGGTGGTTTTCGGTGGCATGTGGTGTTTGTATTGCAAGTAGGAGTATGAATGGGTCCCACATGTTTATAAATCATTTAATTGTTTTTATTTAATTAATAAATAATAAAAATATAATTATTACAAAAATGAAAAAAAAATACGAAGGACAATATAGTCTTTTCATCTCTAGGAGGGACGAAACACGCAAGAAAATCATAGTATGAGGACGGTCCGAGTGCAAAACAAAAGTTAGGGACCAAACACGCAAATTTGACCAAACATAGGGACGATTTCAGTAATTTGTTCTTATTTGTGTTTGGATAAGGTTATACAGTATCCAACTTTTAAGCCCAATGGAAAAGCTTGTCCCCCACTCACCCAAATCCATGATATATACGTAGGCCAAAGCAATAATTGAGGCAGTGTAATATATAGCTGTTCAATCAGTGGTCTTCTTCTACACCATTAGAATTTTTGCGCAGCAACATTGCAAGCATACGCACAGTGACATAGCACAGAGCCAACAGGTACGATTTTGTGCAAAATGTCTATATATGTATACCAATCTATATATTACTTGAATTTGTTGTTTTCTGTTTCAAATATATCGATCCTTGACCAGATATCTGGAATCAAGTTTAGTTTGCTACTTGTAGTGGTCCTTGTGGATTGTGTATATGTTCTACAGATAAAATCAACTGAAATGTTAAATAAATTGACAACGCCTATTCATTTTCTCTGGTTTGATTATCGACCAATGTTATGAAGTAGTGATTTTCTTATGGTATATGCTTCATACTAGAGATCAGTATCAGCCCTAATAAATCGCCCGTAATTTTATGAGTGTAGGACTCTGTTTCCAGCTAGGTACAGGAGTGTCAGATCTCATTTTCAATCATTTTGATTTTTCAAATATTAGATGAATCTCTCAGTTTGAGTGGGTTTTTTGAACTAAACTACCGGATATGAAAGATTTTCAACTGATATTCAATTGTTCACATTATGAGAAAGATGTTGAATCAACTATTTATTCCCACTTTCAATCACTGCAAAGAAAACAAAAGTGAAAAAGTATAAACTGAGACCAATGGGTTACCATAGATCTCATATCTATTTGGGTAATGCAAATTTTTCTCAGACACTGTTTAGCACAGTGAAACACTTCACAATTTGTAGTTAACATAGTATCTCTATTATTAAGACTTACTTCATGAGGGATGGCTTAGAGGGTTTATGCCAAAGATCGAGAGAATTTGTTATATCCCCTTCTCTTTCACCTGCACCAGTCACCTTCATTGAATTGCGATCTTATATAACATAAAAGTTAGGAGTTAAATGAACAAAACAGTTGCAGTTGACTAATAATTGTTGCACAAATATCCAATTAGAATTTAACCCGGGAACATAATGGATGTGTTGTTTTCAAGGAAATACTTATATATATGTGGGCCAAACAGATTGAGCTTTTCCTTATTGGCTAAAATCCTAAAAACCAACAAGCTCTTCACTGCTCTAATACCATGAAAAGAATATAAACAGAGAATCTTGCCTATATTTTAGTGAAAACTCATGACTGACTTTCAGATGTTTAAGACCGATCTGGAACCAAGAGCGGTTCGACCCGAGACTGATCAAGAGTTGGCTCCGACATTTTAGTGAAAACTGGGACTGCATGAGGACCGACGGTCTAGACCAGATTGGGACTGAACAGTGTATGACTAGTTCAGTCCCTAGTCAATTTTTAAGACCTCAGGCGTATTATTGTCCACAGAAAAAAAAAACACATAGATTAAGAAAACATTAATTGACAACAACTTTGTTAATAAAATGATAGTCTTACCCTTTTTTGCATTTATTTCCATTGTAGTTGTATTTAATTTTATTGTTGTTTAACTAATAATGAAGAGTATTTTGGTAAAATGAATATTTATTTTTTTAGAAGTAAGCTATTATTTTGGTACAAATCAAAAAGAAAACATTGACTATAAATATGGGACGGATGGAATATGAAATTTTTTTCTCTATAAAGATGTATAGATATAAATGTTGTTCTCTATATGGTTTACGATGGAAAATGGTTATATATTTAATATATTTATGATGCTTTTTTATATTGATTTTATGATGTTTAACCCTTGTATGACTGGCTAAGTTTTCTATCCGAACATATTATTTTGACATATATCCATATTAGAAACATGTATCATTGTGCGAATTGAGAAGAAAAGAGAGTCGCACGAACATAGAGAAGATTTGCTATATTTCGGTAGCAAATCTCACAACTGTTTTTCTGTAACAAATTTTGTAGCTATTTGTTCCATATCAAATTCATAACTATTTCTTATATAAGAAGATTTAACAAAAAATGGAATTTATTAATAACCATATTTGAAAAATATAGTAAAAATAAATTTAAAAGTAATATATAGTTTTAGAAGATATATTACAAAGTTACCTAATTATCAAAACTAAATACTAGTTACAATTATAACATTTGAACATTTCTAAAAGTTTGATTATCCTATAAAAAAATTGCCTAAGTATAAACAAAACAAATAAAATAATTAACATCCTAATTCATTTTCTTGTTTTAATATTGCACGTATACATCAAATAAGATATAACCTAATTACACTCAAAAGTGATTTTCAGGATGATAACTAGGCCCAAGATTTTTGGACAGCCCATTTATGTAAAATAAAGTCCATATGGGTTTTAGACAGGATTGAAGATGCCATTGACCTTGAGTCAACGAATCACAAGTCCCAATCACAACTCCCACACACGAGGCGGCGAAAGAATAAAAATCCTCCACATCTTATCCCCTTCCATATGCTGATAATTCAAGAAGATTCATATCATGCCTTCGATCGATTAGCTGTTGCCTGTAAAATCTAACAATTTCACAACGTGCTTTTGCCCCATTTAATTGAAGTATGGAACAATGCTATCGTAATCATGGCAGAGGCAACCTACAAGCTTACGAGAGATGGTGTTGTCTAGCCGGGTCTTGAGGCCATCGATTAAACTGGAACCCGTCCTTTAATTTTTTCTGTTTTTTTTTTCGGCGTTACTCCTTCCCACTGTAGGGGAAACTCCAAGGGTTTGAGAGTTTTTTTTTTGGTGGAGAGATAGACAGGTAATGGACGTAAGTACAGATTGAAAAAAGGGGAACTTTTTGAAAATGCCAACCACACTCCAGGTTCCACAAATGCGGATGTGGGTTTTTCTTTTTCTTATACAAGATTAGGCATGCCTTTTCTTTTCTCATTCAAGGCTTTCTTAATCTATCCTCATGTGGAGAGTTGTCCACAACAAGTTCCTTATAGAAGTCTCAATATGGTTCAAATTTCCCAAAATCTTTGTAGTTAGGTTTTGTCTTCTATTTCATCTTGATTGTTTTTTACAGAATTGATAGACTCACAAGAGTATAATCCATCATCGAAGTATGTGAGAATCACATTTTCGTTGTTACCTATGCATGTTTGTATTTGGACTGTACAATGATATGTGTAAGATTTTCAAATGTAATGTAATTATTCACATGATGATATGTTGAAATCAACACCTATCCCCACTATGTTAACGAAAGCAAAGTTTAAGTCCAAAAGGGAATATCCACAAGAAAATAAATAACTTGTCTGAATTTACACGAGCATTAGTTTTCCTACATCTGATCTTCGTTTCCTACTAAATGTGTTATGTGTACTATTCCTCTTCCCATGCAAGGTATCGAAGTCATAGAATAAATTTTTTGAACACTATTTATCTATGGATTATAAATGATATTGGAAAAAAGATAGTTCTACTTCTACATACTAATAATAAAACATGAATGTATAATAAAATGTATACTAAATCACAACTTTTATTATTTCATGCCCTTTGTTGATTTGTTACATGGTTTGCAGGTCTCACAAAAAGTTAGAATATAAAAAATGGCGTTTATATTTGAAAGCATTGCTGGTCCTATTGTTGAATGTTTGTTGCCTCCTGTCAAGAAGAATCTGAGTTATCTTTTTTCCTCCACAAAACATGTGAGGAACATGAGTGCTAAAATGAACCAACTGAATGGTACAAGCATTGATGTCAAAAATCACAGGGACGCAAACAATATAAATAATCTAGAGATACCTGAGCGTGTACCGGGTTGGTTGGAAGAGGTTGACCAGATTAGGAAAGATGCTCAAAGCATTTCAAGTACTGAGAGTGGATGTTTTAACATAATGATGAAGTACCAAGCAGGAAGGAAGGCATTTAAGACTACTGAGGTGATTGAATGTCTTATTATGGAAAAACTTCAAATGAGCTGGAGTGATGCTAAAAAACCTCTTGGGAGAGGGAATTCTAAAAACGCATCCACTTCTGCACCTTCGGATGCTGATGCCCAAAATCACTTCAAATCAAGAGAGAAGATTTTCAAGGATGCGCTCGGGTTCCTTCAACAAAATCAGATGATAGCCCTATGTGGAATGGGTGGTGTGGGAAAAACCACCATGATGGAACAACTGAAAAAGCATCTGGAAGGTGTGAATATGTTTGATTTGTTTCTAAAGGTGGTTATTGGGAAAAAAGAAACGTCTTCTATTCAACAAGCTTTGGCAGAATGCATAAGTCTATCTCTAACTGAAACAGATCCAACAAGAAGGGCAGAACGTCTTGGTATAGCATTTGCAGAGCTGGTAAAACAAAAAAAAAAGGTTTTAGTGATATTAGATGATGTATGGGAGACGATCGAACCCAAAGATATTGGACTAAGTCCTTTTCCCAACAGCTTCAAGTTATTGCTGACATCACGAAAGGAAATTACTTGCCAGCAAATTGCAGAAAAATGTAATTTTGTTTTGAAAGTAGTTAAAGTGGAACTCATGGAGGAGCTCGAAGCACAGAATTTCTTTTGGAAAATCATAGGAGTCGCAAAACAAAATGATCGGGAGCTCAATCCAATTGGAACAGAGATTGTGAGAGAATGTGGGTGTTTGCCCCTTGCCATCAACCTCGTTGCCAGTCGTCTTAAGTTTGAAGAAAAGGTTGCATGGAGAGATACACTCCGCCGTTTTCAGAATAAAAATCTTGATTATGTGCAAGAAAGTGTTAAGATAAGCTATGACTATATAAGAGAGGATGAGGAAAAAGAGATCTTTCTTCTTTGTGGTTTGTTTCCCGATGACTTTAATATTCCAATCGAGGAACTCACAAGATATGCATGGGGCCTACGGTTGTTAAATGGAGTTTCTACTTTGGGAGAGGCTAGAGACAGGACAGACACGTGTGTGCAGAGTCTCAAAAAAGCAAATTTGTTGATGGAATGCGATGATGATGATGGGTGTGTCAAAATGCATGATCTTGTGCTTGATTTTGTTTTAGGTAGAGTTTCTAAGGGTGACCATCCATGGATAATCAACCATGGTGATAATTCAAAGGGGAGTAGTGCTGGTATGAGTGAGTCTTGTAACAGAATTTCTATTACTTGCAGGGGTATGTTTGAGTTTCCTAGAGACTTTAAATACCTAAACCTTGCACTTTTGAGACTTATGGATGGAGATAAGTCGCTTAAGTTTCCTGAAGGTTTTTATGAAAGCATGGAAAATCTTGAAGTTGTAGCATATGAAAAAATGCAGTATCCGTTGCTTCCCAGATCATTTCACTGCTCCACCAAGCTACAGACACTCCTTCTCCACCAATGCTTAGTGATGTTTGATTGCTCTGCTATTGGTGAACTCTTGAATTTGGAAGTGCTCAGTTTTGCTCATTGTGGCATCAGAAAGTTACCATCCACAATCGGAAAGTTGAAGAAGCTAAAGCTACTGGATTTGACGGGCTGTGTCAATCTTCGTATTGATGATGGTGTTTTGAAAGATTTGGTCAATCTTGAAGAGCTTTATATGAGAGTTGCTGATGAAAAGGCAATTAGGTTCACAGACAGTAATCATGCTGAATTAGCAGAACTTTCAGAGCACCTTTCTGCACTAGAAATCGAGTTCTTTGGGAACAGTGGTAAGCCTGAGAATGTGTTGTTTACGAAACTTGAAAGGTTCAGGATCTCCATGGGACGTAGTTTAGGATACAATCACTCATTTGAAAACACGTTGAAGTTGGTCACTAACAAAGATGAGCTATTGGAATCTAGATTGAATGAGTTGTTTGTGAAAACAGAGGTGCTTTATCTAGAAGTGGATGGTATGAATGATTTTCATCAACAGTTGTTTAATAATCTAAGAGTCCTTGATGTCTTCAAGTGTGCAAACTTGAGATTCCTCTTCACAGTCCCTATTGCAAATGGTTTGATGAACCTTGAACGCCTCACAGTTTCACAGTGCCCTGTTCTGGAAGTACTTGCACATAGTGAGAATAGTGGAGATGGGGTAATCAAGTTTCAGGGGCTAAAGTTTCTAAGATTGGATAGGCTACCAAAGTTGATAGGTCTTTGCAACACTGCTAATGTAATTGAGCTACCACAGCTGGTGGAGTTGGAACTTGATGGCCTTCCTAATTTCAGTAGCATTTATCCTGAGAAAACATCTGCAACATCTTCTATGTCCAGTAATGTCTCTGCAATTCAACCTTTCTTCAACAAAAAGGTACATTCCTTAACCAAAATATATTTAATATAATTGCACAATATATTGATTGGATGGTGCTATTGATGGTCAACA